AGTGGCACGGGCAAGGATCTGGGGGGCAGGGATCTGGGGGGTGGCGGTGGCAGGCAGGGATCTGGGGGGCAGGGATCCGGGAGTGTGGGGGTGGCAGTCGGGGATCCGGGGGCACGGGCAAGGATCTGGGGGGCAGGGATCTGGGGGGTGGCGGTGGCAGGCAGGGATCCGGGGGGCAGGGATCCGGAGGATGGTGGTGGCAGGCAGGCAGGCAGGGATCCGGGGGGCAGGGGGCCCACGTACATGACGTTGATGCCCACGGCGCAGGCGGAGGTGACCAGCATGGCACGTGCGTCGATCTCGTAGTCGTTGCTGATGATGCGGGCTGACGCCAGGTACACCAGGACGCCGGTCACGACCCAGATGGACAGCACCGAGGCCAGGGCGCCCAGCGTCTCTGCAGGCACGGGGCAGCCGTCAGCGCCACCCGCAGCTGTGGGGGCGGAGGGGAGTGGCCGGGAGCAGCCCGGCTGGGACCCATCCACGTCCCTCAGGGAGGAAAGGGTTAAAGACCTGCCTGCGGGGCCCGTTGCTGTAGGGACGCTGGCAATGTCTGTGCACGGCCCGTGCCTGCCTCAGTTTCCTCTGTGCCTGGCGCTGGTGTGCACACGCCAAGGGCAGGAGACGGGGGGCCACAGGACAGCCTAGGGCCAGCCAAGGGGGTCAGCAGGCCTGGCTAGAACCAGCCCGTCAGGGAGGCTCTGGACAATGGGAGCCCGAAGGCCTGGACCAGTGCCCTGGCCACGGGAAGGCCTGGCCGTGGAGCCGGCACTGCAGGAGAAGGTGACAGGAGCCGGGACCAGAGCTGGGCTCACCAGAGACACGGCAGCTCTAACCTGCTCGGACTGACAGAGACAGGAACCCGCACGCAGCCGCCGGGCTCCAGGGGCCCTGGCATTGGCCAGCAGGGACTTAACCCCGACTTCTCTGGGCCAAGCCAAGGGCCCCCCACGCCACGCCCAGGGGACCGAGACCGGCTCTGGGGGAAAGGCTGCCTGGTGTCCCTGCAGGCACTGGCGGGCGCAGGGGTCCCTGCAGAGCGGCCGAGTCTCTCCCAGGCATCTGGCTCAGCGGGACTCGCTGGGCTGAGGCAGGGGGCTGGAGCCCAGGGGCTCGGGATCAGAGGTGGTGAGGCCGCGTGGCCGACCCTGGGGGGAGAGTGGGACCCCTGGGGGGCTGGCACCCGGAAGGGGCTGGGGCAAAGCACAGACCCTGGGGGTCTGTGAAGCCTGTGTGGGGCAAGACATCATGGGTAATGTGGTGCACCAAGGTGGCCAGCGGGGAGGATCTGCCTGTGGCCTGGGGGTGAGGGCTCTGCCCCCCCAGCTCCCCACGGGCCGAAGGGAGGGGGGGCACAGGCTGGCACCTGCTCTGCCGGGCTGCCCAGGCTCAGGGAAATAAGTCCCCAGGTCGCCCCAGCATGGCAGGGAGATGGTCTGTGAGGGCAGCGAGCGCTGGGCTGGAGCCATGTCCTGGTGGGGCCCTTACCTGAGCGGTGCCAGCCGAAGGTCATGGTCTTGGTGGGCGGCCTGGCGGAGACCCACAGGGAGAAAAGGCTGACCGACATGCTGCCCACGTCCGCCAGCAGATGGGCAGCATCAGTCATGATGGCCAGGCTGTGCGCCAGGTACCCGCCTGCAGTAGAGATTGGCCAGCTCAGTGCCAGGTGCTGGCAGGGCCCCCGCACAGCCCCCGGGCAGCACCTCTGTCCTCCACTCCGGCCTGCGGGGGCTGGCTCCTTCCCCAGAGCACTGGGCACTGACACGGCGTCCCCTTGCGCTGCCAGGGGGCCTGCCAGGGCGGGTGGGATCCAGCCAGGTGACTCCCATGAATGTGGGGACCCTGGCAGGGGGTGAGGGGAGCTGCCCCATCCCGCAGAGCTGAGGGGCCGGGGGCTGCACCAGGCCCACGCCGGGCACCTCTCTCCTGGCCCCCAGAGACCCGGGCTGCGCCTGCCAGCCAGCGCGTGAGCAAGGTGCAGAGCGGGACGTCCCGCAGCACGGGCTGAGCAGGGCCAGGAACAAGCCGGGCTGGGGTCCCGCTGCCACCTTACCGACAACCTCGCCGATCATGAAGACGAAGCAGATGGCGCAGGCGACGCCCAGCTTCCGGCAGGCCTGCAGCTCCGCCCGGCTCTGGCTGGGGGTGGGGGGGCTGCGGTGGCAGTGCCTGGCCAGGCGCCGCTCCAGCTCCAGGGACGGAGCCACAGGGCTGGTCTCCGGGGGCAGGCTGGGGAAGGGCTCCCGGGAGCCTGTGAAGAGACTGAGACACAAGGGGGTCAGTGCGAAGGTCACGCCAGTTCCAACAGCCCACGGGACACCTGGCTGGGACAGGCCAGCCCGGCTCCTCACTGAGGAGAGGCTGAGGGAACTGGGATTGTTTAGTCTCCAGAAGAGAAGAATGAGGGGAGATTTGATAGCTGCTTTCAACTACCTGAAGCGGGGTTCCAAAGAGGATGGAGCTCAGCTGTTCTCAGTGGTAGCAGATGACAGAACAAGGAGTAATGGTCTCAAGTTGCAGTGGGGGAGGTTTAGGTTGGATATTAGGAAAAACTGGGCCCAGAGCAGGGCTGGGAACCGGGACGGGAGGGGCCGTCACCGACCCGGCATCTGCCCTCATCTTTGGGGGCCCTGGCTCCACCCAGCTCTGCTGCTAGGTACCAATGGAGTGAGTCCGGGGCACCTGCTGCCCCCTCGCCAGCCTGGCTGGGATCCCCCTGACGGCCCAGGTGACTGGTCCTGCCACAGGCTGGGCAAAGCCCAGAGCAGCCCAGGCTCCTGGGAGAGGCTTGGCAAGTGTGGAACCTGGGGGCCCTGGGACATCACCCCAAGCCTGGATTCCCCAGGGGTGCCCAAAGCTGGAACAGTTGGGGGGCAACTGCTGGTCAGGACTATGGGGCAGGGATATGGGGTCAGGTTGGGATTGAAGGGCACCAGCAGAGCTGGGGGGAGCCCAGGGCGGAGTTAGCAGGGGCCGTGGGTCAGGACTGAGGGGCACCGGCAGAGCTGGGGGAAGCGCAGGGCTCGACTAGCAGGGGGCTGCAGGTCAGGAGTGAGGGGCACCGGCAGAACTTGTTGGGGGCAGGGCTGGGCTAGCAGGGTCTGCGGATCGGGAGATAGGGGAGCTGGCGATGGGGGGCCCATGTGTGTGTGGGGGGCTGTGGGTCAGGAGAGAGCAGCATTGATAGAGCTGGGGATGGGGGGCCCGGGCGGGAGGGGGCTGTGGGTCAGGAGAGAGGGGCACCGGCAGAGCTGGGGATGGGGGGCCCGGGGCTGTGGGTCGGGAGCAAGCGGCACTGCAGAGTCAGGAGAGGGGCCTTGAGGCAGCCGCTCTCCCTGCCAGGAGCGGAGCCCTGCCCCCCGGAGAGCGGTTAGTTATTTCACGCCTCGGCACCCCGCAAATGGCTCCAGCTATAAAGCAAACGGTGATCCTGGCAGCAGAACAATGTGTCATGTCGCCGCACTCCCCTCCCCACCATCGCCCCGCAATGCAGCTCCAGCTCCACGTCCCTCCCCCCCAAAACGCCCCATTCTCCCCTCCCCCACCATCGCCCCGCAATGCAGCTCCAGCTCCACGTCCCTCCCCCCCCAAAACGCCCCATTCTCCCCCCCCCCCGCCTGTCGCTGGCCGCTGGGGGCTCAGGGAAGGGGGGCCTGTCCCGGGGCTGGGGATCCAGCGGGGAGCCCACACAGCTGCTGCTGCTGCTCCCCAGGCTGGCGGTGCTGGGGCAGGGCACCTGAGCCCCAGGCCAGAGCCGGGAGCCCCACAGGCTGTGGCCAGTGGGTAGAACCGTGGGGCCAACGGTCCCTGAGGAGGCGCCTCCCTGGCCGCCCATCCATCTAGGGGCTGCAGAGACCCCCGCCAGCCTCTCGCTCAGGCCCCGTGCGCTCTGCCCCAGCACAGACAGCTGGGCCGACGCCTGAGCATCCACCGCCCTCAGCGTGCGGGGCCTGGCGCGTTCGCCCGAGAGCCCCTGCCCGAGCCCCGTGTCCCAGGCTCCGGGCACGGCTGCATCCCCACTGCACCAGGCCCCACACTGGTGCGATTCTCTCTGCCCAGCTGGGAGCCGGATGCAGCTTGTGGGGGCTGGAGCATCCCCTCCCCCCCGAAGGGGGGTCCCAGAGCAGGGCAGGCTCATTGGGCCAGGGTCTCTGAGCGGCGCAGTGTCGGTGGCACCGGGGCAGGAGCCCACACACTCTCTCTCTCTCTCCCTCCCGCCCCAGCACCGCCCAAGGCCTGGGCCATGCCGCAGGGCATACGGGCCAAGGGCGAGTGGGGGCAGGTCCCTCCACTTCTCCTGGGTCTTTAGTCTCCAACTTTCCCGAGAGGAGCCAGGCGTAACAGAGGCAGCGCTGGTCTGAAAGCACAGCTCTGGGTGCTGACGCCCCGGCTCTCAGTAGGGGCTTGTAACGAAGTGGGAATTTTCTGTAATATGTTGATGAGTCCTGTGTATGCCTCAGTTTCCCCTGTGTGCGGCACTGTTACCCCGCGGGTGGGAGCTCTGGGGCAGGCGAAGACACAGGTGTGGATGCCATCTGGCGGCCTGGGCCCTTAGGGCCCATCTCCATGCAGTTCTTGAGAAGAGAAGGGCAGATCCAATGGCCAGGACGTGGACACTTGGCAACCAGCGACCCAGAGAGACGTGATCGTCCCGCCTCTCCGCAGGGGGCTGAGCCGCATCCCCCAGCTCGGGAACAAAGGCCGGGGGGCGGGGGATTAAGTGTGGGGAGCAGTCGGGGGCACCCCGGGAGTCTGACAAAGGAGATCGGACAGACAGAGACAGACGGAGCTTGAACCACGGGGGTCACTGCAGCCGGGCTGGGCTGTAACCGTCAGTTCTCTGGGCCGCCCGAGGGGCTGCCTGGGCCGTGTGCCAGGTGACCAATAACCCCGCCTGGTTTCACAGCGCTGGGTGAGTTTCCCTGTAGACACTGGGCGAGGGGCACTGATCCCCCAGATTGTACACGTCGCCCCCAGGTCTGTCCCAGACTCGCTGCCCGGCGCTCCC